TTTAATATTTTCGGTAATTAAATAAAAATTTAAAAAAAGCAAAAACAATTTGGTTTTCATGTGTAATGGCGACCTAAACAATCCTGCTATTCGATAGGCCACCATAAATTTTATTGTACACATTGTAAGCTAAAAAAAGAAAAACTAGGTCATGTTGTTTAAATTTGCATTGTTATTTAAAAACTTGATCTGCAAAGTTTTGTAAAAAAAAAAAAAACTATAAAGTGGGGCTGTCAGAAATCGATCACGGAGTTCCTGAACAGCCAATCAATGTTTGTCTTATGAAAGTGAAACATCGGGTTATAACTTAGGCTGGATGAAAATAAATAGAAATGTAGCCTTAAACTCAACACATTATTTTCAAGTTCTCTGGATCTGCAACTTGTATAGCATTGATTCAAAAAATATTAAATTTCTGAATTAATTTTAGGCTTAAGTTTTTTATAAAATTTTATCTTTTATTATTTTTACGGTCCTAAAACTAAAAAAGCACATTTGTATTCCATGTCAACAACATTACGGAAGGATTTTTGTCAATTTTTCGTCAACTCACTGGTGTCCATTTGGCATTTAGGCCATAATATTATATATTATTATTAATAATATTATTAATAGCCTAAGTATTGGCAGCCGTTGTTATTTTAAATGTGCCGGATTTTTAGCTATTTGGTTATTTCTTTGCTTTGTCGCTAGTTTTGACCAATATGGCTAACAACTAGTTAATAGATCTAGACTAGAATTCTAGATGACTTGTTCACGTGTGTGTTGTTATTTTAAATGTGCTGGATTTTTAGCTATTTGGTTATTTCTTTGCTTTGTCACTAGTTTTGACCAATAGGGCTAACAACTAGATCTAGATCTAGATCTAGAATTCTAGATCTAGAATCTAGATCTAGAATCTAGATTCTCTCTCTCTATTTTTAAAAATATTTTTCTCCAACATGTTTAACACCAAATAGTATAGGCCTATGGCTATGCGGCTATTGACTTGTTCACGTGTGTAAGCTTTAGTAACATTACATTAGACCTTTCTTATCTGATGTTGTAATTCGTAAACAATCCTAAAATGAACTTTTTTGCGATGTTTGTCGTTTGAGATACAAAACTTGGGTCCCCATCTTGAATATATTTTTAGAGTAGGCCTAATCTCCCTTGAAGACAAGAGTTCCCAAACTACACCGCTTTTACATTTACGACATGTAGGCTATAGGCTACTATACATATCTAGATTTAGTTGTTTTTTATCTGGTTAGAGTAGGGCTTATGACACACATCCCACCCCCTCGTTTTTACAGTCAGTTGATTAAGTGTGATCCCACGAGCACGTTCTGGTGGGCCTAAAGATTTATTCACGTCAGACTGAAACACTTTAAATAGTAAACGAAGTGTTGCATACGCGTATGCTCCTGATGAAACCGAAACGAATAAAAAGAAGAAATCACAAAAGTTTCGATCAGTGGTTCTCAATACGTGTTCTATCGAACCCAAGAGGTTCGGTAAGTCAGTCTCAGGCCTTTGGCGAAGGTCATGGCGCACACCCGACTCGTAGGTTTCAAGATTTTATCTGGACGATAAAACTATTAAGAAGGGTTCGGTGAAGGCGCATATGAAATTGGTAGGGTTCGGTACCTCCAAAAAGGTTAAAAAACCACTGCTTTAGACTAGCGTGTACTTTGTACAAGGTGCAAGCATATTTTGTCTACTTTTTGTCTTGACTTTTTAACAATTCCGATAATAGTGTATTACACTTTTAAATTATCAGTTAGGTTGAACAAAGTAATAAAGCATTAGCAGTCGTCGTTTTGTACCATTTTTACATCGTTTAGTAAGTCTAGTGGCCTTAACTATATGAAAATTGCAGTATTATGACTTGCCTTTGCTCCCCAGGGGCCACAAAGGAATGATGATGAAAAAAGCAATCAAAAAATTATCAATTCTGTACAATATACTATTTTTTAGCTCTTAAAATTTCGGCAAGAGTATTGTCTTCCACCCAACCGCTCCGACTGCATGCTATTTTACTAATCGGATAGCGATTCAAGAATCCGTGATATTTAATTCTCTTTACTATAGTGACCCAGGCAAGATGTAATGCAATCAAGTAAAAGTATCTGATCTTTCATGTTGACGTCGAGCGAATCGTAAGAATCCTACAAAGAACTATTCGAGTCATATCTTAACAAAACTGGCTAGTGAAATTGTACATTACACACTAATACAAATGGTTTATACTCTTAGTCTTAGTGTAATACGATTTATCTAATCACCGTTCCGGTGTAAATCCTTCCCATTTACATTGGCGAAAAAAACGTGCCACGGCCACCCACCATACTTTTTTATTTTACTGTTACACAATACGCTTTGATATCATTAGTTTATTTCTAGGTTTTAAAACCAATCCAGTACAAATACTTGCGATTTTTGTTCGCGAAAAAGCGCCCCCACCCCCACACTCCTCCCCATCATCTTAGACAAGGTTCGTAGAACAGGTTTTAATCGTGCCATGCACTTTGGTAAAATAGAATCTTTTCTAAGCGATCTGGGTTATCTCCTCAACAATCCAGTGTAAATCCTTGCAATTATATTTAGCAAAAAAAGCGCCCACCCCCTTTTACTATCTTGATAAAAGTCACAACATTTTTTACGGTTAAAAAATCGTACAATACGTTTTAATACGATTGGGGTTTTTTTTTCATAAGTGGTAACGTTTAACCACTAATCAATCTAATTTAAATTTTTACGATTTTGGTCGCGAAAAAGCCCCCCCCCCCCCCCCCCCCACACATATCTAGCGATTTTTGCCGATCACTGTTTCTAAATGTTACATATTTGACAGTTAAACTATCAAGATAAATAAGTATGTAAAGGCTTGTAGCCATTACATTTCTTAACTTAGACTGTTTATAATTTAAAACTGCAGCATAAAATCAGTTTTAAAAAAATGTCCACCCCTTTTGGTGCCCCCTAGGGTCGGCGCGCGGGGCAGCCTCCCCCCCTCCCCCCTCCCTAGCTACGCTTCTGCGTCAACTAATGCATTAACTAAAATCCCTTATTATCTGTCCGTAAGTATTAGACAAAATACGAAACATAACTGGCGAAAATCAATACTACTGTGACTGTCTTTAAGATTAGAATCCACAAACTCGAGTGCCGTACTCTATTATGATAATTGTTCTTCAGTCTCTTTGGAAGCCATATTTTTACCTGCACTTTCGGATGGTTTTAGCATCTCTTAAGTAGGCGTTTCAACATTTAGATCATCTATCAAGATCCACGTTCTCACCACTCATTTGATGACTCAAACTAATCAACATATTATTGCATTCCATTTAATGGGTCATCAGAGCGCGACTGCTAAACCGAAAGTCTCCAGTTGGAATGCAGATTAAAGTGAGTAGTATGCTTTGAGTTGAACCAGCTCTGATAGTACCTAACCCAGTGGCGTAGCGAGTTCGGGTGCCACCCGGTGCGGCACTTAATGGTGTCACTCCCCCCAGAGGCGTAGCGACCCTTCCCGGCGCCCAGGGACAAACTTTTCCATTTTTCCATTTGCTATCCCCTCTCAAGATTTCGACTTGCACCCCCCCCCCATCAAGCTTTCGATTTCCACCCCCCTCGACCTTTCAATTTATTTTTCCAACCCATTTTGGCGCCCCCTAAGGTCGGCGCCCGGGGACATATATGTCCCCCCCCCGCCCCCCTCTCGCTACGCTTCTGCCCCCCACCCCTACCAGAGGCGTAGCGAACCTTCCCTTGAACAAACTTTCAAACTTTCGATTTGCACCCCCCCCCCCTCAAACTCGATTTGCACCCCCCCCTCAAGTTTTTCTCTATATATTTTTCTATTTTTTGCCTTGGTGTCACCCCCTTAAATGGTGTCCCCCGATGCGATCCGCACAAGACTAAGCATTCAGTATCTCCCTCAAGCACAGAATTAACCTCGCTGTATTCCTTTAGTCCACGGGTTCCCAACCTGGGGGTCGCGAAGGGCTTTCTGGGGGGTCGCCAACTGATATACTAAATTAGGGGTCTCCAAAATACGGCCGGATGCGGCCCGCGATGTCCTCTCATCCGGCCCGAGAAGATATTTTTGTCCACGGATAAAACGTTTGTTGTTGATGGCTGAGGAACTTTGCACAGAAAAATCAAAAACATGCCTGAAAGAACCTGGCCCCCGAACTGGGAAATTGAATCTTCTTCCCCCCCCCTTTCAACACAGAAAGAAACCTATTCAACAACTCCCCAAAGTGTGATGGCGATAGGTGAAAGGTGTAGTAATGCCATAAGGACAAATCAACAAACAAACCCACACACATTCATTTATATATATATAAATATATATATATGTGTATATATATACATGTGTGTATATATATATACATATATATATATGTATGTGTATATATATATACATATATATATGTATGTGTATATATATATACATATATATATGTATGTGTATATATATATACATATATATATATGTATGTATATATATATGTATGTATGTATATATATATATGTATGTATGTATGTGTATATATATATATATATATATATATATATATATATATATATATATATATATATATATATATATATATATATAAATATATATATATATATATATATAAATATATATATATATATATATATATGTATGTATATATATATGTATGTATATATATATATATGTATGTATATATATATATATATATATATATATATATATATATATATATATATATATATATATATATATGTATGTGTATATATATATACATATATATATATATATATATGTATGTGTATACATATATATATATATATGTGTATATATACATATATATATATATATATATATATATATATATATATATATATATATATATATATATATATATATATAGGTCTAGATCTATATATCATAACAGCCTATCCAATCATAATAACCCTAACAAAATGGAATAAACGCTTTCTGATTAATTAATAGCTGAAAATATTTATTATGTCTTTAAAAAAAAAGATAAATTAAACATCAATAATAATCATAATAATAAATTGTATCTTATGTCTTAAAAATTTAATCATTTACAGCTACATTAATTAATACATTTTGTTCCTCACTATAATTATCATAATTATGTTCAACTTAATGGGTTAAATAATTATTTATACAAAATTTAGAATTGCATAAAATGGAATATATTCAATATAGAAAAATATAGAGTATTACTTCAATGATTCAAATTATAATTGTACATTTAGAATGGTGGTGTTTATTAGTGGTTAGTATTAATTGTATTGGTAATGTAAAGGGTAAGAATTTAGCCATCATATTTTCCAAAAAACCTGAACAAGGCTAGCCATAACACCTTGTACAAGATAATAAATGTGCTATGGTTATTCATGACATCCATTTTATCCATGTAGTTTTTCTTCCCCTGTGTGAAATGTCTAGATAGCATTTTAATCATTAGTAATACTTTGTATGACAAATAATACTATGAATGAAGAGTATTATATCCTGTATGACAAACATTAATGGTGTGTTTTCAGCCTACACAATGTGATATAAGTACAAAAGCAACAATTTTATTTACAGATAATTAAAGATCCTTGTGAAAGAGAATTTAATGACCAACAACACATTCAGGTGGCTTAAAGTCCTGAGTGAAATGTTGTGTGTGTGTACATTAACTAGACTTAAGAGCAAACTTTTTATGACAAATGTCACATTCCTATGGCCTCTAGTAAATGAATATTTTTATGTTTAGATAAACTACATTTATAATTAAATTTTTTGTGACACACATCACATTTATATGGTCTCTCTGGTAAATGAACATTTTTATGAATTGATAAATTACCTTTATAATTAAAATTTTTATGACACACATCACATTCATATAGTCTCTCTGGTAAATGTATATTTTTATGTGTAGATAAAGAACCTTTTTGACTAAATTTTTTATGACACACATCACATTCATATGGTCTCTCTGGTAAATGAATATTATTATGTTTTGATAAGTCACTTTTATGATTAAATTTTTTGTGACACACATCACATTCGTATGATCTCTCTGGTAAATGAATATTTTTATGTGTTGATAAATAACGTTTAAAATTAAATTTTTTATGACACACATCACATTCATATGGTCTCTCTGGTAAATGTATATTTTTATGGTCTGATAAATTACCTTTATGATTAAATTATTTGTGACACACATCACATTCATATGGTCTCTCTGGTAAATGAATATTTTTATGATTTGATAAGTCACTTTTATGATAAAATGTTTTGTGACACACATCTCATTCATATGGTCTGTCTGGTAAATGAAAATTTTTATGTCTAGATAAATAACCTTTATGCTTAAATTTTTTGTGACACACATCACATTCATATAGTCTATCTGGTTTATGAATATTTTTATGTCTAGATAAATGAAATATACGATTAAATTTTTTGTGACACACATCACATTCATATGGTCTCTCTGGTAAATGAATATTTTTATGTGTAATTAAATTACATTTTTGACTAAATTTTTTGTGACACACATCACATTCATAATATGGTCTGTCTGGTAAATGAATATTTTTATGACTAGATAAATGAAATATACGATTAAATTTTTTGTGACACACATCACATTCATATGGTCTCTCTGGTAAATGAATATTTTTATGTGTAATTAAATTACATTTTTGACTAAATTTTTTTTGACACACATCACATTCATAATATGGTCTCTCTGGTAAATGAATATTTTTATGCTCTGATAAATCAACTTTATGATTAAATTTTTTATGACTCACCACACATTCATATGGTCTCTTTGGTAAATGAATATTTTTATGTTTTGATAAATAACGTTTAAAATTAAATTTTTTATGACACACATCACATTCGTATGATCTCTCTGGTAAATGAATATTTTTATGTCTTGATAAATAACGTTTAAAATTAAATTTTTTATGACACACATCACATTCATATGGTCTCTCTGGTAAATGAATATTTTTATGATTTGATAAGTCACTTTTATGATAAAATGTTTTGAGACACACATCACATTCATATGGTCTGTCTGGTAAATGAATATTTTTATGTCTAGATAAATAACCTTTATGCTTAAATTTTTTATGACACACATAGCATTCATATGGCTTATTAATTCCAGAATGAATATTTGTGTGTGTGGATAAACTAGACTTTGTAGTGAGCTTTTTAGACAAACTAGACTTATTGTATACCTGTTCTAGGTTTATTTTGTTAATCTGTTCACCCTGACTGATCATAACAACTTCTTGCTGATGAAAATCATGACCATATGGATTCACCCTTGTGTGAATGTTTATGTGTTGTTTAACATGATCAAAATGGGAAAATCTTTGACAACACATATCACACTTGTATGTCTTCAGTCCCTTATTGCTAACCAGATATTCTGTTGGGAGATTATCAATCAATTTTGTATGCAATGACTTGAGTTCTTTTAATTCATTTTGAAGATCTGATTTTAAAACTGCTAAATTTTCTTTAAAATCAGTTGAATCCGATGGGGAAGAAAGTTGTTGCTGTGCTTTGAAAACATTTTGTTGTTCACTCTCCAAAGATGAAATTGTTAATATCTCAGGTTTTATATCTTCAAAAATTGAAAATACTGTTGATAGATTTGGTTTCATGTCTTCAGAAGATAAAAATGATGTTGGGTTATCTTGTTTCATCTCTTCTAAATTAAACAAAGGCTTTGTTTTATAAATATTTTTATCTTCTAAAGCTAAAAGTTGCATTGTTTCCTCAGAGTATTTGTCTTTAACAGTTGAAAATTGTGTTGATACATTTTGCTTTACATCTTCAGAATTTGAAAAGAGTGTTGATATATTTGTTTGTACTTCTTCTGAACTTGAAATAGCTGATGTTTCATCTGATTTCATGTCCATAAATGTAATGATTTCGTCACACAATTCCTGTTTCGCCATAACTAAACTCTCCCAAACTATACCATTAGTGTTGTTTGTGTTTTCCATAGCTTTAGATTGATGAATTATTGCACAAAAACTGAAATAAAAATAATCTTGATTAGAAAACCTAATTAAAATTTGTTTTTGAAAATATATTGATTGCATTTTTAAAAAATGTATAAATATTTCATAACACCATAGAATTTTTTAAGTCATAAAAAAGATCAAACAGGCCTTATTGAGCTATGGTAACATTTGTTTTAATAACTGAAGTGTCTATTATCAATTAGAAGTTTATGAATAGATTAATAGTTAAAAACAGTGTTCATGCCTTAGCACACCATGGTTGGGTGGCACAGTGCACATCTGTTAACCCATATCCCCAGAGTTTGAATCTCAGTAGGGAATCATATAATCATGTTTTCTTTGTCTTTTGCCTTTACTAATCAAAGGGCGACTCCTTTTTTTTATAAGCCATATTGTTTTTCTCTATATAATTTGTCACAGTAAAAATCTACTTTTTTAAGAAAAGCATACCAACAAACTAAAATGAGTAAATGTAACTTAGTAAACATTGGTGGGTGATACAACTTGGTGACGTCATTTATGGACACATTTTTTTTTCCCCGCTGATAGGTACAAAAACCTTACTACATTTTAAGTTTCTCACCACAAGTGTTTGAATGTAAACTTTGTATCGCCGTGCATTTTTTGTGTTATTACTGTAGCCTGGGCGACAAAGCTGTTTTATTGTGAGCGTTTATGACGCGAGCGCTTAGCCACGTACATTGTTCTTATTGATGAGCGGTTTTGTCAGGGATTTCAGTGTTGGTTTTGTCAGGGATTTTAATGTCAGTTTTGTCTGGGATTTCAGTGTCGGTTTAGTCGGGGATTTCAATGTCGGTTTTATCGTGGATTTCAATGTCGGGAGGTCTGTCCTATGGACAGTAACATTTTGTGGTGGGATATTTTCAAGGGAGCCGTATGTCACAAGGATATTTTTTTTTAACGGGATCGATTTGTCAGAACCTTTAATATTGCCCTGTCTGAGTATTTTTTGATGCATGAGGATAACCAATATGCAGCTTCTTGTTACAAATTTAGAAAACATCGTTTATACTTGCCTACATTTTTATTTTGCTTTATAATTATATATGTGTTTTTATTTGCTAGTTATATTTTATTTATTGTTATGCAAATTAAGTATGTTTTATATTCCAGACAGAATATGCACTTCTAAAGCAGAGCAGAAACCAAATGTAGAACTATATAAATTATAATAAAGCTCTTTGGTGTACTCCTATATATAAATAATTCATCATTATTTTTTTTTTACTCTAATAAAATTACAAGCATATTTATTGAGATTAAAATTAAATGAAGCCCAGCAATGGAAAGCATTTGAGCCAGCAGTGAAGAAAAAAATATTTCTTTCAAAATGACAAATGTTCTTTAGAAATGCTAAATATTTTGGTATAAATAAGAAACATTATTATAAACAAAATTTAACTAGATCTTCATTTAAAAGTAGTGTGGTTATGACTATGCCCAGCTGTCTTCAATTTCCATAAAGAATATTAGGTACTCATTACAGCTGGGTGGACTCGGGCATGTCCTATCAACCTTAGTCCTGGATCCGAACTTGAGGCTTATGGTTAACATTTGGGAATTCTATCATCGGACTAAGTCATCCCTTCATTTAATTACAATCACTGAATCAGACTAAGGGTCTTAAATGATTTGCCATCAAAGTAACATCAACATATATATTTTCACTTTTGGAACAATGATAATGATAATCATTTATATAATTACAAATTGAGTTGTATCAATTCTTCAGCTCAATGAAAAGAAAAACATACCTTTATGATAATTATTTAGTAATAGACACACTTTTAAAACTTCATTCGAGCAAGCTCTGTGCTTGATATGTTTAATAGATAGATAGAACTCACACTCAGGTTGTGCGAAAGTTTTGGTTTTTTAAAAGGGGGGTACCTTCTTCAACCATATATTTCTGGCAAACAGATGGAGTCACAACCAATATTTTGATTCTTTCTTTTGTAGTAGGCCTATAGAGTTATCTAAAGTTAAGCAAATTTTGGGACTTAAATGCTCAGTAGTTTAAATTTGTCATAATTTTAGTATTTCACATAAACCAGACTTCGGTTTTGTAGAATCGCATGATTTATCAGCTTTGCATCATGATATACAGAAACCTTTTAAGCTATGATCAATATTTTTATATTATTCATTGACACACCCATCGTTACTCTTTCTGAGTTATTTTGAGCTTAATATTTCAAAGAGTTAAAATTTAAACTGTGGTTGTATGAAAGCACTACGTGTTCAAAAATAGGGGGTCCCATGTTCAACTTTTGTTGTTCAAAAATTCTAAACATAAATGTCTTATTTTTTTGTTTATTATGCTTCCATATATGATTAAAAAAGATACTGAAAAGTTTAAACAGATTCTACCATGTAGTTTACAGGCTATGATCATTTTAGTGCACACTAAAAAATTCTTTATCACAGAAATATAAAAAATCCTGTTAAAAAATGCACCTTTTATAATAGATAAAAAAAGCATAGCTTTTTAACCATTAAAGCTACATCAAAAAGGAAAACTGTTCTGTGATTCTAATTTTTTGCTCCTTTTACTTGCAGTCATTGTATTGCAATCAAACCATATAATTTTTAAAATTCTATCCTAGTACCTAATATAATCAACAAATTTCTGTAATTATTTCACATTTTTAGAAAGATTTATGTTGTAAAAGTTTTAAAGAAATGTTTCAACCCTCCATTCATGTACCTGTTTTTAAACAAATGTATTAAAACTTTTCAGTAATAAATAAAGATGTAACCAAGCTCGTTTACTTTAGAAGCCATCTTGTTTAATTTAGTTTTTTGGTAACATTTTAGCGAGAGATTCAGGGGAAAGCACTCTTATTTACAGATGGCCGCTGTTTATATAGAAAATCTTGCTCTAAAACAAGGACAAGGCTTTTTAAAGTCAATTTTTGGCCTTTGATAAATTTAGACATTGCTATTGGTTTATTATTATGTATTATATATGACGCAAAAATATAATAATATAGGCCCCCCTACTTGTATTAAAGCCATATTAATGAGCCACCTTTCTCGCACATTACTAGCCTCTGCCGATTTTACGTACCTAAAACAATAGACTCATACCTAGAATATATATAGGCTAGGCATTTTTGTAAAAATGTTTCTATTTAACACAGAATGATAAAATTTACATATAATTAGCGTGTTATCTTTTTCGCGCATGCCTTTTTTCCATGGTAATCATGGCGTTGACCTTTGCCCTGACTGGCTTGTTTCCGCTGTACATGTTTATTAGTGGGCATGTCAAATCCAGGTGTATTGCGTGCTCATCTGTCCATATTATGACATGGTGTGTAGTTAGTAAAGTCGCCGACAGGTCTGCAGACCCTATGCGTTATTTCTTAAAGAAAATTATTCTCTATTTTAAGTAGGAACATGGTGCTTAAATGCATGGTGAGTACTTATTTATTTATTTATTTTTGTTGATAATTATCTCTTGTAAGTGAAATATGAAATATTAAAAACTTCAGTGACACCGTGCATGAAAATAATTTTAAAAAAAAAAGACTCATTAACCTCCGGATTAAAAGAAATACTCTGGAGTAAGCATTAGCCCATTTTTGCGCCAAATTTGAGTAACTTCTTAATAATTTAATAATATTACATAATATTTATTCAGTATATTAATTTTCAGAGGATTTTTTCTATGATCTTAGCGTTTCTTAATTTTTAAAAATCCTTTAAAACATGTTTTCGAATAGTATTAAGTTCGTATTTTACATTTTCCGTGTTATTTTCAGTGTGTTGAACAATTTTGCGAGAACTGGCGAACACGACTAGGCCTAAGAATGCCTAACATCTAGTGACGTATCATAAAAATATTGCTTTTTTTTATCATGTTGGCAGACACATAGTTAACTTAGATTTAATCATACACTTGGCAGACACATAGTTAACTTAGATTTAATCATACACTTGCAGTTAGGCCTAAATAATATTAAATATCATAATAGGCCTAATCAATAGCAGTTTGAATTTAGTTTTGTAATTCTGGTAGCAGATTTTCAATTTACTATAAAATCTATTAGGCCTATTTTCCTTTATTTTTCCATGCCTTGTAGAAATTAAATATATGACACTGTTTTTCTTTTCCATAAAGGCTACAGCAATCATGAGGAATCAGGGTTAAGTCTTAGTTCACTATGGCTAACTGGTATAATTCATTTATCAAGTTATATCTGACATACAGACCAGCAAAAGGAATAGGTCTATTTATATGGTATCCTAAGTATAACTAAGTATTTAATCTGTTTAGTTTGATTGAACCCTTATTAATATTATTTTACTCAAACACTTTTTATTAATTGACAAAGCTTTAGGTGGATTCCCAAGCCAAGATTTATTCATATTTTATTAATAGTAGAACTTCAGTTGGTAATAATACTAAAACCTTGTTAAAAATATGTGTGTCCCATTGATTTATGGTACATTTTCTATTCTTCGACTGACATCTCTAACAAAGACTAAATGTTTACACTAAACTACTTGTGTCTTTTACTTTAGTCAGTGTATTTTTAGGTGCCCTTTTGTTTTGTTTTTTAAACCCATACAGGATTCAGGATTATGCATTTAAATTAATTTTGTTAATGACAAATAAATTGCTCATTCAAGTAAACTCTTTACGTTAAACACAATTTAATAAAAATCCAAAATTTTAAAAAAAATAATTTATATTTTTAAATACTGCAGTCATTCAGTTTGGCTACAAGATCTGATAAAGTTATTGCTGTTTTACCTTTAATCATTGCTTAAATATCTTTTTCAAAGGTGTGGAAGCTGCACAGCTAACGACTAGTCAGTTTAACATAAGAGATGTTGGATGGCAAAGTGTAGTGAAGACTTGGTTATCTGAGGTATTTACTCCTTTCAGATTCAATTTTATCTTAGGGTATATGTGTATTAATTTTGTAACTATTCGTAATTGATGTGTTATTAGTGTTTGTGCCAAACTAGCCTTTCAGTACATGAATTTATCCTTTTTACAAGTATTTTATTCTTCTCTTTGCAGCTCTGCTTAAGGAACAACATGCATCTGATAATGCTGATATCCATAGTGAGCAGACAGTAAGACTGTACAATGAAATTTAATATCTTGATGTCGCATCAATTACAGGAAATTCAGTTATAATAATTCAGCTAATGGAATAGTGCCAAATTTTCTCATCTTCTGTTATGTCCTATTGATGATGTTGATGATGTCTATTTTTAGTCATGTAGGCTTTGCAATTCTAAAACTTAGGTTTATTAAAATGTATCCAGGATGTTTTAACCTGGTGTTGTTACTTGTTATGGTTTGACATTTTTTCATTATTGAATAAACTTTGTTTTATTTATAACATTTCTTTCTATTCCTGTGCATCAAAGCTATGATTAAAACACTACTATTAATATTAGCATGGAGTTATGTTACAAATGCTTTTCACAAGCATACGTTTACTATTTCTTTATGGGTATTAATTACTATTAGTATTTGGAAATAGCTAGACTATATGGAATTGGCTTACTATTTATCCAACTTAAAAAAAAAATCCAAATAAACATGGCATAAAAATGCTTAAACAGTGTTGTCGCATAATTTCCACCACCCCAGGTACAGTGCACTACATCTACATGTATTACAATGTTTGGTCAACCATTATTGTGTTGTATGTGTAGGTCTGCTCTACTTCATCTACCCAAGTAACAAGTTACTATAATAAGTAATATGTAATTACACGTTCCTAAAGAAAAACTGGTTGTAAAATAGTACAATAGTAGTAACATTATTTAGTATTCAGTCTAAGTATTAATAAATCAGTTTAAAAAATTAAACTAGATCTAGTTTATTTTAAAAGTTGCATTTTTTTAACACAATGTCAATCTGTTATGAGGATGACATTTAATTACTCATTTAATAAATCACTTCAATCCAGTATAACCGAAGCAATAAGCCTTATTATAATTTTTTAATTTTTAGAAAAATGCAAATACAGGATGATGCAATAAAATTATAATTTTTTGAAAAGTGCTAATCCGTGATGATGCAATGAAAAAACCATATGTGCCAACTTTTTTACTTCCGTAATATTGACTTGGACTACGAAGGTCTAAGCTGTTTTAGCCACGCCCACAATTTTTTAAAAGCACATAAATTAGCTCCTAATGAAGCTAGAGACACAAAAATGGTATTGATGTGTTGGGAAAAAAATCCTTTTTTTGTGTGGTATAATTTTATCTGAAATTAATGTAGTTCAAAAACTACGAGCAACAACCTAATATAATCAAGAAGAGGTTCTGCCATTTAATAAACAACAAAAACTATCATTCTAGGCCCAGTAGTTTTTTTTATATGAATTTTTAAAGCTTTAGGTAAAACAGCTTATATGTTCATGTAAAGTTGCAAAATATTTAGTGCCCTTCTTTGGGTTTGTACAACGAAGTTATTAAACAAATAATGTTAAAAATGTGAACATTGATGCTAGAGAGTGTAGACAATAGGAATATGCAAGTGAAATAAAGATCAATTAAAAGGAAAAGAATTTATAATTACCTTAATTAAGCCCAATTAAGGCGTGTGGTGCAGTTCTACAATGATTGCCAAAAGTCACTTTTCATACTGCATATCTATGTTGTTATTGATGATATAAAGATAAAACTTAGCCCATAGATGCCTAAGGATATGGAAATAGAAACTTACAAGTTAATACATGCTAGAAGAAAAAGAAAATCACATATAATGAAGTCTAACTAAGGGGGTGGGACTGAAATTTTGCATCAATAATACCTGGGTATTATACTCATACTGTAATATGATATGATTAGGATTATGTTGAAGTATCTAAATATTAGTAGCATTAGTTGTAGGCTACTTTTAATAAGTAGCCAAGGATTGCTAATCAATAAATGGTGTAACAGAAACTAGATGAGATGTGTGGCAACGGAATGATAGACAGCTGCCTTATTTGCTAATCTGAACCTACAATATAAAAAACATTGCTGTTGCTTAGTTTGTTATTTGTAAGTAAAATTAAAGGAAGTGGCTATTCGGACCCGGGTCCTAATAGCCTCGGCCACTATTGGGACCCGGCATTAAGTTCGTTAAGCACTTGTACAACCTGTATTAAAATTATACCTTTTATGTTTAGTCTATTTGATTTTTCTTGTGGATTTGCTCGTATTTTGTTGTTTTTTATTGTAATTAGTTATGCGGATTAACTAGCGTTAGTTCTTGCATTGCTATTTCTAAATACCCTATATTTAGCTCTGTATACACAATCATTGAATTTTGTGAAATTATCGTTAGATGTCGCGGTCGAGTGGAGAACGCAGTACCTCACGTTTCTTGATCAGTTACGGGATCGGAACCTATCAAAGCTCTTGTTTTTGCGTGAAGTAAAGTGTATTTATCTAAGTTTAACGTTCCATTGAATTGTTTGCATAGGTGTCTTTTTTAAATTGTTTTTTTTTAAAAATTTAAATAGATTTTTTTTCTAGATTTAGGGTTTTAAACACGCCAATTATAAAAACATCGCTCTATTGTTCGCCCGCTCGCGTTTTCTGGTCAGCGCAAGAAAAATACCGACATGTTCTAGCCAGGGTCACTGTGAGTTCACATTGGTTTAGACGTGAACAGTGTAGGCGTATAGCATACGTCATAGCAAGACCATTTCTATGAGCTTGTCGAGATTTGTCGTCGTCGTAGAACTTTTGTATATTGGCTATTGGGACCCGGGTCCGAATAGATGCATCCAAAATTAAATCACATTGTTTAAAGTGTTACTGTTTCTGTTTTCTTTTTGACTTTTAAAAAAATGTATCTCTGTTGCTTTAGATCAAATTATTGTTAAAGTGTTAAATGTTCCTATTTTATCTTTGACTTAGTTTTTTGTTTTTTAATTTCCATTGCCTCTATACTATAGCACTATATTTTAACTATTAGGCCTATTTCTATTTGATTTTTATATTACTCATTGGTTAGGCTATCTATAGCCTACCATTACTACTAAAAAAAAGTTTAAAATTTAAATGGAATTAGTTTAGGCTGGAGAGCAATATTTAATATTTAGTTATTTCTTCTTCTTCTTCGTTCTTAATTATTAGTGTTGAAGGGGATCGAGATTTATCTGCCAGTGGGTTTGAACTCGAGACTTTGTTTGATTTTATCAACCATGAGCATTTTGCCGACTCGACCACGCCTCCAACACAATTAAGCGTTACGTGTAAACTAGTTATGCACCATTGACTCCAAATTCAGCCTGCTTTTCTTTTTGGATTTGCTTCCATAGCCTTTGTCCAACCAAGAACAAACTACAAGGCAGTAGTTGTTTAATTTTGGAGTTGTCTCTCCTAGAAGAGTGGCTGTCCCCAGCTAACGAGCCTCATCTGCCAGAGGGTTCAAACTCGAGACTTTTCAGTTTAGCAACAATGAGCTTTTACCGACTCGACCACGCCGACCCCTCTAATCTTTAGATCTAGGGCCTATTTAAAATTTTAATTAGG